GTTTGGGTGGGAAGGGCCCTTCAAGCCCATCCCATTCCAAGCCCACCATCCCAGGCTGCTCCAGCCTGGCCTTGGGCACTGCAGGGATCAGGGGCAGCCCCAGCTGCTCTGGCAATGCCAGCCCAGGCAGGAATTGCTCATTGCCAAGATGCCACCCATGGCTGCCCTCTGGCAGTGGGAGCCATTCCCTGGGTCCATCCCTTATCCCAGGTCTCTCTCCTGAGCCCCTTTAGGCCCTGGCTGGGGCTCTGAGGTCTCTCCAAGGTTGAGTTTCAAATCCCTCCGTTCCCAGGGGATCTGGAGTTGGTGTTCCCAAGGTTATTCCAGCTCCAGGAGCAGAAGCTGTTGCTGATCTGGGCTGTTGCTCATCTCAGGCACTGGCATTCCCCAAAGGATCCCTCCAGGATCTGGGATCCCCTGGGAAAAGACCCAGCCCCAATCCACTGTGTCCTCCCTCCCTCCTTCCTCTGCCAGGAGCCAATTTCGAATTCCACAGGGAAAAACCCAGCACAGCCCCCCCTTCCTTCCACCCTGCACATGCTTCTCCAGAAATAAATCCTTTTTCCCTAAATAACAAGCCTGATTTTGGAATTACATCCTCATTGCCATGAATTAGTCTTTGTCCTGCAGCCTGGGAATGGAAAGCTCTCATTTTTTTCCCCTCCTCTCTTTTTCCCCTATTCCCACAGGATTCCACAGCATCTTCCCTGATCCCAAGGCTCCCATTTCCCTGCAAACCCAATTCCATGGCAGAGACACGGAGCCAGGAACTGCTGCTGCTGCCACAGCCCTGCCAGCAAATTGAATTGAAAAAATAATTTGATTTTCATGTGTTTATAAACGCAAAAGAACAAGAAAAGAGGGAGATAAAGCCACAACCCACCAGGCAAACGAGTGCTGCTGTAAATACAAAGTGACACCAAGGCTGGGGAGGGAAGGGAGAGAATCCCATCCAGTCATTCCCAAATCCCAGGAGCTGGGATTTCCTCCAAGGCACATTGTATTCCCCCCAGAGCCCTGCTGTTCCACGTACCCTTGGCAACCACAGGGGCTTTGAACGTGGCTGCTGGGAGCAGGAGGCCAGGAGGATGGGAGAAAGGCTCCTTTGTGCCAGCCTGGATGGTGCCAGCGTGCCCAGGGAGTGGCACGGATCGGTTTGTAGGGGCAGGGCANGGGATCCTCACTTTAAAGAGACTCCTCACTTTGGGGATCAATTTGGGGATTTTAACCAGCTGTTTCCCTAAATCTGGCGAGGAATTGTAGGGGGATAGAATGTAAGAAAATAAAGATGGTGTAGAAAGTAATCTCAGCCCTAAAGTGCTGCAGCTGGGCCAGTTATCAGAGGTTAGGCACAGGCCACAGCTGTGTCCAGTGAGAAGATGCTATAAAAAAGTGGGGTGGTGTTGAGAGGGGAATTTGAGTTAGTTGGGTGTGAAGGACTCAGAGCTCTGAGGAGCTGCCCATGAGAAACACCAAGAAAGTGTGGATCTCACCCCTAAAGTGCTGCAGCTGGGCCCGGTATCAAAGGTTAGGCACAGGCCACAGCTGTGTCCAGTGAAGATGAGGGCTATAACAGAGTGGGGTGGTGTTGAGAAGAGAATTTGAGTTAGTTGGGTGTGAAGGAGTCAGAGCTCTGAGGAGCTGCCCATGAGGAACACCAAGAAGGAGTGGATCTCACCTCTAAAGTGCTGAACACCAAGAAGGAGTGGATCTCACCCTAAAGTGCTGCAGCTGGGCCTGTTATCAAAGGTTAGGAACAGGCCACAGCTGTGACCAATGAGAAAATGCTATAACAGAGTGGGGTGGCTGGGTGAGGAGAGAGCTGGAGTTTGTTGGGTGCCTTGTGAAGGAGAAAGAGTCAGTGCTCTGAGGAGCTGCCCATGAGGAACACCAAGAAGGAGTGGATCTCACCCCAAAATGCTGCAGCTGGGCCCGTTATCAAAGGTTAGGAACAGGCCACAGCTGTGTCCAGGGAGGATGAGGGCTATAAAAGAGTGGGGTGGTGTTGAGAAGAGAATTTGAGTCAGTTGGGTGTGAAGGAGTCAGTGCTGTGAGGAGCTGCCCATGAGGAACACTGAGAAGAAGTGGATTTCACCCTAAAGTGCTGCAGCTGGGCCAGTTATCAAAGGTTAGGAACAGGCCACAGCTGTGTCCAGTGAAGATGAGGGCTATAAAAGAGTGGGGTGGTGTTGAGAAGGGAATTTGAGTCAGCTGGGTGCTTTGTGAAGGAGTCAGAGCTCTGAGGAGCTGTCCATGAGAAACACCAAGAAAGTGTGGATCTCACCTTTAAGGAGCTGCAGGTGGGCCAGTTATCAAAGGTTAGGAACAGGCCACAGCTGTGTCTAGTGAGAAGATGCTATAAAAGAGTGGGGTGGTGTTGAGAGGGGAATTTGAGTCAGTTGGGTACTTTGTGAAGGAGAAGGAGCTGCCCATGAGGAACACCAAGAAGGAGTGGATCTCACCCCTAAAGTGCTGCAGCTGGGCCTGTTATATTAGGTTAGGCACAGGCCACAGCTGTGACCAATAAGAAAATGCTATAAAAAAGTGGGGTGGCTGGGTGAGGAGAGAGTTGGAGTTTGTTGGGTGCCTTGTGAAGGAGAAAGAGTCAGTGCTGTGAGGAGCTGCCCACAAGGAACACCAAGAAGGTGTGGATCTCACCTCTAAAGTGCTGCAGCTGGGCCAGTTATCAAAGGTTAGGAACAGGCCCCAGCTGTGTCCAATGAGAAGATGCTATAACAGAGTGGGGTGGTGTTGAGAAGGGAATTTGAGTCACTTGGGTGCTTTGTGAAGGAGTCAGATCTCTGAGGAGCTGCCCATGAGGAACACCAAGGAGATGTGACACCTTTGTGACAGGAGATATCAGCACGGAACCCCTGTGACAAGGAATAAGCACTGTACCGTGTGGAAAAGGAGCGGGTTCCTCCTCTTCAGGTGTCTCCTGGAAGAGCTGGATGACATCAGGGCTCCTGGCCAGCTGCTGGGCCAGCGTTCCCGTGGCATCAGGAGNGTCAAAGGGAAGAAGCTTTTCCTCCTAAGCCATTGCTCCTCCTCAAAGGAAGAGCCGTGAAAGGAATGAAAGCAGCTGGGACAGTTGGTGTCCCCTGCAGCTGATGCTCCCACATGGGCCTCACAGTCACTCTGAGGCTCTTCAGGCCACACAGCCTGGGCCTGTAGGAATAAATATACCCTGAACCAGTGAGTGTGGCTCCTCTGCTCCCACAGAAAGTGAATCTGTATCTCTGAGGTGGATTTGAATAGCTTTACCATGGGGAGGCAGCTGGCAGGTAAGAAGCTTAGCTCAGCCTGCAAAGAGTGAAACCTCAGCAGGAACGGAGCATTCACCTACTGGGGCTCAACTGGAGGGCTCAATTATCCCCAGAATCCATGGGAAATAACTGTGTAGGTCACAGAGCCAGTCCCCAGGCACAGCATCCCACTCTGACATAACCCACGAGGAAGCACCGAGCCACTCCCACAGCAGAGGTGGGGGAATCACGGTGGGCTGGGAAACCCCGTGAACTGAAAAGAGAGGTGGGAAAATCCAGCCACGAGGAGCTCTCCAGTGTGTGAGCACTGCACCAGATTAAAATCCAGTCTGGGCACTAGGGCTGCAGGAAGATGATCCCTAATCTGGCACACATGATGCACACAGAAAGCCTAAGACAAGGACCTTAAAGCTATTAAAGCTCCAGCAGCCTGGAAAGGCCATTCCCAGCAGGAATGAGGCAGCTGGAAGATCCACCAGCTCTGATGCAGCTCTCACTTCATTCACAGTGATCCAGGCAGAGGGAGCAGGGGCAGCCATGGAGTTCTGGAAGTCTGAGGGACTGTATCAGCAATAATTCAGGATTATTTTTCCCCACAGGGCTAAGACACATCTCTGTGAGCTGGCACTGCAATGGGGTCTCTGATTAGCACACAGAAGGGAAAAGCTGAAATAGCTGGAGTGCCAGTAATCCCAGACCTAAAGCTGCCTTTAGTCCTTCATTACTGCTGAGGAAGAGATTAACACCTGAAATATTCACGTTGCACTTCCAGATCCATCCCAGTGGAATTCACACAGCACCCAGGGGCCCCACAGACCCAACCAGAATGACCACTACAATGGATTTATTTGTGCACTTTTACAGAGCTCCAACCACTCATTCCTCCTCTTTAAACCAACAACCGAACTCTCCCTTTGGAAAAAGAAAAAAATCCTTCAGATCAGCAGCACAGACACAACCTCAGAGCTACAACAGGGGCTCCAGCAGCAAATCCAGGAGCAGCCTGACCACCAGAACTTCTGTGACAGCTGCTCTGGAAAAGGAAAGGAACAACTGGATGTGTTTCCAGCTCCTTCTCCTCAGGTACCACAGGTAGCAGATCCTTTTCCACAGCTACCACAGCTGTGCAGGAAGGTCCTCCAGGCCAGCCTGACCCAGCTCTGCTCTGACACCACTCACAATGGCTGAGCCAGCAGCAGGAACTCTGGCATGGCCGCACCAGCACCTCTGCTTTCCATTCTTTTCCACATGAGCTGCTCAAGACGAGACGAAGCCCACCCTAATTGGTATTTCAGAGGCAAAGCCAGCACACCAGCAGCAAAATCCGAGCTCCTGGATATTCCCAGGCTCTGCAGTTTGGTCAGCTCACCTTAAAATTCGGCCCTAATTTACTCCTTTTAATTCAACCGCTGCTCATTAGCAGGAGCTTGTCTTAAAAGTGATTTCACAAGAGGCCTTTTGTCAAATTTACACTGGCATTTGTCAGTTTGAGATTAAGCCCCAGCGTTCACCAACTTGATACCCCGCTCACACTAAAGCATAAATTAACATTTTAATGCAGCTCCGATCTATTGGAGGCCCCTTCACCACAAGCTCATTATATTTCACCTCCCCAAAAGTGCCTTTCCCTGCTTTGCTGGGCTGGGCCAGGCTTTAGGACAGGCTCCAGCTTTCCCTATCAAAGGGAAGAAGCTTTTCCTCCTAAACCATTGCAAAGGAAGAGCCTGGAAAGGAATGAAAGCACCTGGGACAGTTGGGTGTCCCCTGGAGCAGATGGACACACACCTTACACCTTCCCTTGTGCCACACTCCAGGTACACCTTACACCTTTCCTTACACCTTTCCCTTGTGCCACATTCAGGGTACACCTTACACCTTTCCTTGTGCCACACTCCAGGTACACCTTACACCTTTCCTTACACCTTCCCTTACACCTTTCCTTGTGCCACATCCCAGGTACACCTTACACCTTTCCTTACACCTTCCCTTGTGCCACATCCCAGGTACACCTTACACCTTTCCTTTGTGCCACATTCAGGGTACACCTTACACCCTTCCTTACACCTTTCCTTGTGCCACATCCCAGGTACACCTTACACCTTTCCTTGTGCCACATCCCAGGTACACCTTACACCTTTCCTTACACCTTTCCTTTGTGCCACATCCCAGGTACACCTTACACCTTTCCTTACACCTTCCCTTGTGCCACACTCCAGCTGTGTCAGCCCTCTCCCCAAACCCAAAAGAGGGGGACAGAGGGGATGATAACCCAGCTGTGCCTTCCCTGGGCTCCTGTGTCAGCAGCCCCATCAATCACAGCNTGGCATGAGGTTCAATTCCCACTGGAAGCCAAAATCCTGGGTTTAACATCCCTGGGTCTGAGCAGGAACATTTCCGTGCTGCCAGCTGGATCCCAGGATGAATCCTGGTCAGCAGGGAAGGTTTGGGATCTGCTCTGCATTCCCAGACGTTTCTGTAGGATCAGGGCACTGGTATGATGTTCAATTCCCACTACAAACCAAAATCCTGGGTTTAACATCCCTGGGTCTGAGCAGGGACATTTCCGTGCTGCCAGCTGGATCCCAGGATGAATCCTGGTCAGCAGGGAAGGTTTGGGATCTGCTCTGCATTCCCAGGAACTATCACAGATATTTCTGTAGGATCAGGGTACTGAGATGAGGTTTAATTCCCACTACAAGCCAAAATCATAGGTTTAACATCCCTGGATCTGAGGGAATGTCCCTGCCAGCTGGATCCCAGGATGAATCCTGGTCAGCAGGGAAGTTTTGGGATCTGCTCTGCATTCCCAGATGTTTCTGTAGGATCAGGACATTGGGATGATGTTTAATTCCCACTACAAGGCTCTGAGTACTGGTAAAATCCTGGGTTTAACATCCCTGGGTCTGAGCAGGAACATTCCCGTGCTGCCAGCTGGATCCTGGTCAGCAGGGAAGTTTTGGGATCTGCTCTGCATTCCCAGGAACTATCACAGATATTTCTGTAGGATCAGGGCACTGGCATGAGGTTTAATTCCCACTGGAAGCCAAAATCCTGGGTTTAACATCCCTGGATTTGAGCAGGAACATTCTCTTGCTGCCAGCTGGATCCTGGTCAGCAGGGAAGGTTTGGGATCTGCTCTGCATTCCCAGACGTTTCTGTAGGATCAGGGCACTGGTATGATGTTCAATTCCCACTACAAGCCAAAATCCTGGGTTTAACATCCCTGGATCTGATCAGGAACATTCCTGTGCTGCCAGCTGGATCCCAGGAGGGATCNTTGGACATTCCAGGGGCAGCCCCAGCTGCTCTGGCAATGCCAGCCCAGCCCCTGCCCACCCTCACTGTTAAAAATCCTCCTTCCATGTGATCCTAAGGAGGCATCCTGATCCCTCTGGGTAATCCTGACGTGGATGAGAAGCTTCCCAAGGACGCAGTGACCCAAACCCAGCCAAGGAGGAGCCACAGGAAAAAAACATGCCAGGGTTGGATGAGCTCAGCAGAGCTGGGATTCAGTCACTGAGGGGGCGGAGGGAGAGGTGGCACTGCTGAAACACGGCTTTAACCAAACCCAGGGCCGGGGAATTTGACAATTTGGGCAATGGCTGAACCACATTTATCTTTTTTTAATTTGAATTTTTAATTTCTTTTTTTTGGGGAGATGCTGATGCAAGAGCTGCCTGAGCCTCTCCCGCTGGGAATGCCGACTCTCCGGCATCGCTATAGCAACTCCATTTCCGTGCCAGCCCTCTGGTGTTATTTGCTCATCAGCCATTTCCAGGCTGTTTGCTGAGGAATTGAGGCTGGAGAGCTCAGTCCCTGTGTTTGTCCATCCAACCTGCTTCCAACAGGATCATTCCAGCCCAATTGGATGGGGGAGAGGCAGCATTGGAGCTCCTCAGAAAAATAAGCGAGAAATTCCCAATTTACATCTCTGTTCTTCCCCCAAGGGAAAAGCCCCAGCAGAAATTCCAGCAAATTGAAATCCAGGGAATGAAAAAATGCAAATTGAAAGCCAGGGAATGCAAAATGCCCAAAACCCCCTGGGATGATGCCTCACACTGCCCCCAGAGCAAAGGGATCCATGGGTTTGGCATCTCCCTGCATGCTGAGCTTGGGGTGTGCTTGTGGAAGCTCTCGGTGTCACACAAAGCCGGGAAAAGCAGCTTGGAATTCTCACCAGAACGGCCCTTCCCGTCCTTGGCCTGGAGATCAGCGCCCAGGGACAGCAGGGTCTGGATGGTGTGGCCATGTCCTTCCTGCAGAATGAGGAATTTGGGATCAGCTCCGGGCTGGGATCCATCCCCAGCCTGGGGCTGCACAGATCTGACCAGGAGCTCCAGAGGATCTGGGAGCAGGTGGGAATCAGGCTCAGCTCCTTCAGATCAGATCCGTGGGGCAGGAATGGTCATCCCATGGGACTCCTGTAATCCCATGGGAATTGTTATCCCATGGGAAGCGGCCAGAAAGGTGCCATAAAAGGTCCCTTCCTAAAATCCCAGCGTGGTTTGGGTTGGAAAAAATCCTTAAAGATCATCGAATCCCAATGGGCAGGGCCACCTTCCCTGTCCCTGTGTGTTCCAGCCTGGCCTTGGGCACTGCAGGGATCAGGGGCAGCCCCAGCTGCTCTGGGAATCCCTTCCCAAAATCCCAGCCCAGGCTCCCTCTCCAGGGAATTCCCTCCATTCCCAGCTCTCCCAGCCTGGCATTGGATCCATCCCCACCCCGACTCCTCTCCAGGAAGGGATTTTGG